GGAGTGAAGAAGCCGCATGATGACGCCTTCACTTCGATGATCGGCTTCATCTCGTCTCGACACCCGGATGTGGCGGTAGCGTACTCGTTCCAAAACAATTTTCACAACATTTCAATGATTATGCAAGGTGAATGAATGCTTTTGAATTCCTATATTTTTATTCCGAGCTAGCCAAAGTGAAATGACTGTATGAATGAAGCAGTACATAAATTGGCTGAATAGGTTGGGAAGGGCTTCATTTTGCTACATCTACCCAGAATCCATCTGAAAAACTGTGGCTCCAATGGCTTGAATAGGCTCACACCAGATTTGTTTTGAATGTCTTCAACTTACGCATTAAGACATGTTTCGGTGGATATTTTGGAAGTAGCAGGGGACGCGTGTAATACATAGTTTGACGGCATGCTCCGCGATCAGCTGTCTTGAAGGTTTCTTCATTGCGATATAGTGATAACAGCGCTGTATTGAATGCGCTGTACGCACTACTAAACTGCAGGGTGCTGAGCAAATAGTACGCAAGCAAGACCGAAGAAGAAGCGCCTCACTAAAGTCAGGGCAACAACAGAAGACGCCTTGAATAGGGTATACTTGGGACGGCTGTTCGGTACTAGCGCTAGGGAGAAGAAGATCTGAGAGAAGGTGCCGTAGAAAAGTGTAGGGCAAATGAGCCGGCTTTTGAAGAGAACATCGAATTCTATATTTTAAGCATACAATTCTGTGGTTTCATAGTTTCATGAGTGAATGGCTCCTCCATTGAACCAACGGGATCTCTAGTGCCAGGCGCTAGTAACCGAGTTCATTAGCAGAATCACTTCCACTGATATATCGTCATAAAATCACAAGACTCTGGAGACGAAAACGTTTGGTAGTCTTAGGTGACAGCAAAATGGCAGGCGTGTGAAAATTGACAAAAGCGTATCCAGCGCAAATCAGTAAGGAGCACGAGTATTTTCGAGCCAAGGTTGAGAATAATTGCGCTTAGCAGACCAGCAATGACCGTTTACCACAAAAAACCACATGAAGAATGTTCAGAAGAAAAGCTGCATTGGAAAACGTACAGGGCCTAGGGGACTACAGGGGGACTGTAAAGGGGCTCTGAAGAACCTCCAGAAAATGCACGCGCAAGATCAGGCTATCATACCACCAGTACTATCCAGAACTTTTCAAAATATTTGAAAAACTAATTAGGGCAGGAACGATTCAGGGTTGATATTCTGGTCTAATGAGGGTTGAGTCTGTGTTCGCAACTTTCTGCTTTTGTAAGCTGGTGTTCGTAAACATTCGAGCGAAGGCTTGAGCAACGTATTCTCGGTTCAGCATAAGATCATAAGTAATTCATCCATTAAAAGAAAAAATACTATGTTCGGTCCTGGGTCGGAGAAGAATAAAACCCAATTGCCAGACATTAACCACACTGTAAAAATTACTCGGACGTGATATACTGATAGAGAAGAAAAACATTACCTCTTCAGGTTTCCTTTCGGGGCTCACCGTTGCTGAAGCCGTATTTGCATTCAGCTTTGCCAACGAGGTAAGTCTTATGTGTCACCTGTTTCAAATGAAATATCAAATATGCTATGGGTAGTTTTCCAGCGTAACTACTATAGATTTTACATGGGTCGATGGAGGGCGATGAATGTTCATTGCCTCCTAAAACGATCATGGTCACGATAACAGCTGCAGACATTCAGAAACAGTCAATCGTCCGTCGATCTTGGTGGGGAGTCGTGCTGCGGTATTCGAGAAGGGGTTGCATCTGGAGTTGACGAAGGTGAAGGGAGGAAGGGGTCTTATTTTTAGAATTTCGAGGTGTCTTGGTTGCAGAGGGGTTGTGGTTAGGGTTTTTCTTTCAGTTTTGCCAAAAACTTCGAAAAACATGCGTGAAATGTACAAAGTTAGAGCATTTGCCATTTCTTGGGACAAACTATGTTCACTCCTCCCTGTGATCCTACCTTAAGTGCTCTGCTGCGGTTACCGACTATCGATGGAAGGTATAGCGTCACCGAGCATGCGAGTAAAACTACCGAAAATTTCTTATGCTGGCCTATCTTTTGGGATATGCGCCACGCTTTCGATTTTCGTAGAACTGCAACGAATTTGCTGCGCACATAGCTTGCAATAACAGAAAGGGCCAGCAGTGGTGACGCCACATTTTTATGCTCTTATACAACACTGGAACCAGCCAGTTGTTCAGGAACGATATAGGAATTGCACTTACAGCGCTCATAAGTCCATCGATCTTTATCATCCTCGTTTCGCGTATGTAGATATCACAGCACTCTTTTTGGGATAGTACCGCATCACTTCGATGATATGAGTTTCTAGGGAGACCCACAACTTCTGGCCGTATCTCATGGAAGGGAGAATAAAGACCATCCGAGTTCGACTTGCGAGAGGGGGGCAAGATATTTCGCCTAACTCCACGCACTTGTGACAAAGCGAAGTACTGCAAAAAAAAGCAGCAGTGTGAGGAAGGAACATCTGCCGTTGATCAAGCAGTTGCATCCTGGCTCTTCTCACATTCTGCAATATTCCAGTGAAGCGAAATTTGCAACTACCCGCTGGTCAACATTTCCAGCAGCTACCCAGGCCAATGATTATGGAACCTGTTCTTTAGAAATGTGAAACAGAACATGCATTAAATGTTGCAGTAATAGGAGAGCGAGACCCTTCTTATAAAAACAACTTACCAGGAAAGTTTTTCAAGACATGGAGTGCTTCCCCAAAATGAACAGTTGCATTTCATAGGGGCGCGTGCGTGAAGCATGAAGATGAAATTTTCTGAGCAGCTCTGACAAGTAAAAGACCGCCAGAAAAGGGCAGAAACCCCTCGGAGGAAGTGAAGCTTCTACATTTGCAAGCAATACTAGCATTGAATAGCTGCATACGGCTAGATTTGTGTGCATGAAAGATCAGGCATATAAGAGCGCATGGAAGTGGAAACCAGAGAAATGCAAAAATTTGTCTTTAGTGGGGACCGATCCAGGAGCCATGGTTTCTATTTTTTTTACATTCCCAGAGCCGCTCAGAAAATTCCTCATCCTCACTTTTGTGCTTCAGGCGGAGTTCAAATCAGTCTTCGGATACTATAGGGGCGCGCCCTTATAGCATGTGAAGACTGTCTTGAACTGTTTTTAAGCGCTCCACTATTGAAGGACTTTCCTAATTAGTCTTGCTTATTATTCTGTGGAATAACCTCCAGTAGTTTCGACATGAACTATCGCATAATAAGCTAATGCCTAGGAGCTTCTGCTGCACGCATATCGCTGGCTCAGCCTTCCAGTGCATGTTGTATTCCTGATCTGTTTTACGATTGGATGTGTGGCTGCAATTGACAGGTTCGTTGAAGCATCTTCCACACGAAGAATACCAGAACATTTTGATTTGCGATCCATGAAGGACTGGTTTCTATGGCTGGAAAATTCCGGAGCTCAAAAAGACGCTGTCCCATGGCGGTGTGATCGGCATTATTCTGTGGACCATTGGACTTATTGCTAGTTCGGCTTGCATACAATTCGACGAAGCGCTCGCTCCAGTAGTGGTCAGTTCACCTTTTCAAGTCTATTTTATCATCAAATGAGTGGATACTTTGGTCATATGCACAGCACTGTTCCTTCTTCAGGAGGAAGTCGTGATCACTCAAGACTTGCTGCTTTACTGGAGGATTTGTTGCGCTGTAAGGGCAGTGTGCGCAAGTGCCGCTTGGCTTTTGTTGGCTCTCAGACCAGACTGTAATGTGTTGGGAGATACCATCAAAAGGTAACTCTAACGTTTCCGAAACAAAAGAGCTACCCACGAATACCGAAGCCATTTCAGGACAGCAGTGAATGAGATGCTCCAACGCAATGTCGACCTACTGGAAGAAGTACCCACAGAATTTAGAGCACAGGTGGCTAAAATGCTCAACATTCCTGAATAGAATCGAAATGAGCACGGATTCGTAGTTTTGCGGAGATTTTTTTATCTACATTTCTCTCTCATCGCAGGTCCATATTTCCTCCAGACGTCATTACTCGTGCTTACGGTTACTGCAATCTCTGATGATCTCTTTTGTGGAAACATTAGCGACACAACCCTTGATTAAATTTTTGAGACATGTCCAGTAAGAAAATTCGATGCAGCAATCGGTTTATCATTATAGAGCAATCAATAAATAGTACTAAATACATATAAATACATAGTAATCTTTACACGTTTTGAAAACAGTAGATTGAGAAATAAGTGATGAGTGAAAGTCATAAGTGAGTTGATGAAATGAGGTCTAGCCATGCATGAGTCGTCACGTAAAGAAATAAGCATATTGACATGAGATTATAGGCGCATATTTAC